AGCTCTTCATGAAGGGTTTCCCTAAAATCGATAGCAGGATCCCCTTACAAAAAGGACCCCAATAAGGTACATTTCTCACTTGCCAGCACCCTCGGTTCAACAAGACAAGGACCCCCACCCCCTAATTTTCAAAGCTGGGAGGATCAAGATCTTGAGGCCCGAGCACCAGTAGTGGCCGCCTGTAGCGCCTTACCTTGCTCATGTTCTGAGGGGGCGAGTGGCGAGGGGTTGAGATTTGATTCTTTCGATTTCCTTTCCCAGATTGACTTGAAGGGTCGACGGAAGGAAGACCCGGAGCTTCCAGAAGCAACGAGCTTTGGAAGACCAAAGCGACAGTGATGACAATCCGACAAGTTTGCATGTCTTGTGCACTTTAATCCAGAGGATTTGCCAACCTAGTTCTGGCCATTCGGGGTTAACCGATAGCTCTGACATATTCTCCTGCTTGCCCCGATTCAAGCAGGCGAAAGAGACCTTCAACCTTCAGCTGGCGCTTCAAAGTACCTAACGGCTTCGTGTAGCATTCGAGCTTGGAGCTTTTGAGATGGCAACTCTGTGCGTGAACCTCAACTTGCAGACATTCTTGCACCATCGCGTTTCACTGCCTTATGTATCTGCGACAACAAAAGAAAGCTGCACTGTATGCTTTAAACCCTGAACCCTAAACCCTAAACCCTCTGATTGTTTGCCTACACCCTAAGCTCTGGTGGTGCCAAGCGGCTGTCCGGGCAATCCGAGCTTTGTCCTTGGAGCTTCCCGAAGTTGATCTCCCGGAAGCCTTCAGCAGGGGAGGAGGGAGGGGGGGGTTAGGGTTTGGCGTCTAGGCTTTCGGGTTTCGGCTTTAGGGTCTAGTACAGGCTTTGTAGCTTACATGAGTTTATCAAGGGTCAAGCATGTTCTAGCACGTAACAACACGCAGTCAACTTTACACTGCACGAGGCAGGCACCCCACCTGCGTCTTTTGCCCGAGGAAGCTTCCGTGGACTGGCAGCCTTTAAGCACGGGGATGGTTTCGGGAAAACGGGGAGGGAGAGGACCGTCTGGGATTCGACTGCGGCCCATTGCAATGTTCAAGACATTAACAAAAGACTAAAAACAACACTTGAGCAATCAAAATAACAGTGGTTAAACAGCTGCAGGTGAAGCGGACATTCTACCATCCTGCACAGTCGCAGCAGGTACGTCGTCTTGCGGCAAGTGAGTTGGGGTCTTCCTGGAACGTTGTCATGCCCGCGACATGAACAAGCATCATAGTCAAGTATCTCTGACCTGGCAATCATGTGGTTGTAAAGGGCTGCTCAGAAGTAGAGGGTTAAAAGGCAACAAACAATCCAGAGAGAGATGATGACTTTTCAGATGCCTGGCTCCAGACTGCGGAGGCGTAGAGTTTAGGGTTTAGTTTGGGGTTGAGCAGGGGTTGGGGTTTGGGTACGCAGAAAAATCATTCCAATGTGCGAACCCTAAACCCCAAACACAGGAATGCATCCTAGAGGAATGCATCCTAGGCTCTGCAATGATGTCAGCCGTGCGGGAAGCTCGGAGGAGGTCCTCCGCAGGGTTAAGGAACGTTCCGGTGCCTGCGATCGTTGCTAGGCACCCTACATATGAGGGTACCCAAAAAATGCAACGTCGCGAAGGAACAACAGGCCTTTGGCACCTTGCGTGGGACTACCTTTGTCGCATGGTATACCAGAGTCCTGAAGTTTCAGCCCGCCCAGATAAGTGCGCAACCCCGCACAACATTTCAGATCGTCAGGCCGGGAACCCAAGCACCAGTACCTCCCAGCCCTATGATTCGATGCCCAGGCGCCGAGCTCAGCACGGCCGCGGCGCGACCGAGTACGCCGAGCCGGTTCAATGCGTCCGCGGCGTTCTGCCAGCGTTTCCAAAGGTCCGACAGGCTGGGTTTGAAGCTTGGGGACAGCTTTGTGGGTTCACGAATTTTCGATTCATAGAGGTGCGACTTGATTCCAATCCAGTCCCCTTGGCCTCGGCTTGCATCCTGCCCACGTCGTTGAGATCAATGTCGAGCCTGAATGCAGTATGGAGGGGATTGCAAGCAAGGGGTACCTGTTTTGGAGAATTTTGGAGCTCCTTTGATCGGGATCAGATTTCGTCATGATTACATGAATGGTATCCCCTAGTGTAGGACATGCTTGTACAAAGCCGACAAGCTCTATCGGCCCTTCTACCTTAATAGTCAAGCAGCTGGCCCTGAATGCGGCGCTCTGCATTCCAGACCTGGTGGGCGAACTTCGAAAAGTTTCGGGTTGTTCCTTGATTTGAGGTTTTAGGGTTTGGATAAAGCTCTAAAATATGCTCTCTTAAGATAAGGCCCCAAATTATCCCAGGACAGCAGGAGGAACCAGAACTTAATGAAGCGGAAATTGCAGTGCCCCCCCCCCCCCTCCCCCCCCCCATTGCAGTCGCCATGAGTGAGGGGGGGACATCCGACTCCTCAGTCCCTAAAGCTTGGGGAGAACCGGGAACCGGCTACTCTCTTCTTGGGAAGCTGTGGGTTGCCTTCGTGCAAAGCGCGAAGCATAGTGGGATAGGGTTTAGGTTTAGGTCATACCCAGAGCTCTACATCGACGCACATCTGCAAATCTGCAACCCCCAAAGCCCCAACATCACAAGGTGAATAGTCCAGGGCTCGGTTTCACCGTGCCTCGGATGTCGGACCACAGCAAGGTCCATGCTTTGCTCATGCCCTCATTCCGAAACTTGTGGCCTGGGACCGCCTGGGTCTGTTTGGGGTGTTGATGCTTACCAGGAAGGGTATCGGCACAGCTCAAGACTCCTCGATATGTGGAGGGTTGATCTCAATGATGGACCTTCTCTGGGTTTTTCATCATGGTACACCCCTTATAGCCCAGGATGCCTTAAAAGGGCCCATCATTTAGATCAACCAGCATACGCGCTGATGGCTCCTGAGGCCACAGCCGGATGATGTAGAACCTGGCTGTGTCTCACAAACTAAAGGGACAACTGCTGTGCTTGTCATTCCCGAAGTCTTCTTCCAGGCAGCTCCAACAAGATCCAACAAGTGCCAGCAATAGTTTCCAGAGAGATGACTGTGACGCTCTGTGAGAATTCTGGGGCTACACGACCAGCAGTTAGACCATGGACGTCGAAGATAAGCCAGCAAGCCAGCAAGCTACAGGCTCAAACTGCATGTGAAAAGCGGGTCAAAGAGGAAGCGCACACATACCATAGTGCACCACACCCTGTCCTCTCTATGGGATCGCGCGGCTTGCTTAGTTAGGGTATATAGTACAGAGGGCTTGTGATATCTTCCAGATTCGAGATTCTTCTGGCTTCGGGCACGCCTCGTCTGCTTCTTTGCGGCGCAGCACATTTGTGACACGGCAGTAAGACACTCCATGGCGCCAGAAAGTGATTCCTGTGGCTTCGCTTCAAGCTCCCCCAGCCCCAAACCTAAACCCTAAACCCAAAACTCGTTGTTCAGGAACTTTGTGAAAAGTCTGAGCCGAGAGGTGCGGGAATCGAATGCCGTGTACTCGTAAACTCTGGCAGGCCTCATGTGGTTGACCCCAAAACAATTGCTGAGCCCAAACTTCTACAAGCCCCATGAGCTCCTAACCTCCCATCATCCCGCAAAGGCCCCTGACTTGCATACCCCTCAGAAGCCAAGTACCCTAAATCCCAAAGCCTAAAAACCAAAAAAACCTAACCCTAAACCCTAAACCCTAAACCCTGAAGCTGTTGGACACTAGCACTGGGAGTCGCGGCTGACGAGCTTGGCCATGAGTCGCATCTCTGGATCTTCCGGCCTTGCAAGCTTTTGATGCTCCTCATGGTTGGGGTTTTAGGGCTTAAAAGGCTTAAAAGGGTTTTTATAGGGTTGGGGATTCGACTACCTGTCCATCGTGCCCTCTAGAATAGCGTTGACATATGGGAGCTGGATGCGGGCCCTTTGGCCTTTGTCTGGACCTTAAACGATGAGGAGAACCAGGACAGGTTAAGAAGCAACAGCCTACTGACAGCAGGTCGTTGGGGGTTTGCTCGAACCCTACACCCCGAACCCAGTTTGGGTAACCGAAACGAGCAGGAATGAATATACTCTCAAGGGATCCGATGGGGTGAATTCCCGAGGTCTGAACCTTTCAGGTCGGAGGATCAACCTCAAGCCCTCAACCCTAACCCCTCCCTTAACCCTGTGGCTTCATGTGGGGTTCAGGGAGGGGATCCCGCCTCTTCCCAGGGTGGACCTTCACAGCGCAGATGGACACCTCAGGAGGCCGGGTTTGGGGGGGTTAAGGGTTGAGGATTTACGGGGTGAGGGTTTGGGGTGTGGGGTTGGGTTAGGCCTTGTTTCGGTTTGACAGGGTTTAGGTCTATAGGGTCCAGGATTTCAAGGTGCAGAGTTTGTCCACCAAGGGGCTCTCCTCGACCCTCAACCTCTTGGCAGTTCTCACCCTGAAGCCTGGCAAGGCTATATCAGCTTCTGGCACCAAATATACCCCAAAACCCAAAACCCTAAATCTCTAAAACCCGAAAACCCGAAAACCCCCCTAAAGTCCTAAAGCCCTCTAAGCCCTAAGACACTCAACCCCCTACCCCCCTACCCCCCCTCAAAGGCCAGCGCAGGTGCGGCTTTCACAGCCTGGACGGCGTTCAGGAGCCGAATGTTGCCGCCGAAGAGGCCCACACCCTACCAGGTTGAGAGTTGATAGGGCTCCCAGGGCTGATCTTATGGGGGCTTATTGGTGGTTTATGGAGGTTTTACAGGGGGCTTAAAGGACTAAGAGAGCTTGAAATCATCAGCAGGTTGTTTATTCTTGCCGCAATGCTCAGCTTGGGCAAAGACCCAGGAAAAGGAAGAGTCGCAGGGCGCCACAGGGAATCTATGTCCCCAGACAGCTTTGAGCCATCGTCTGGATGCTTTAAGGCGCCGGCAAGCCCTCAAAGTGTGTTGGCTCACTGTGCTTCTTGACTCCTAAACAAGATGCCTTTCTGGCCACTTTGGGCTGCAGATGCTAAGCATGCTCCAGGCGGTGGACGGCACGGGCAGTTTCCAGAAGCATGCCTTCGTAGCCTCAGGCATGAGAAGCCCCTTACCCAACATCAAGCAACCCGTCCCAAACTGCAGCCGCCTTAGGACTCCAACTTATCAATGGTGCGGCATGGCACAAAGCTGACATCCGCAACGCTCAACGATGCCACCAAACAAAGCCCTGGCAAAAGAAACATCCCAGGCGTATACAATACTGTATTATGCGGAAGTAAGAATTTCACACTGGCAGCAAACTTCTGGCGGGCTTAAGAAGAATCCTCTTGCCACTTGGCATGATGACATCCACCGAGGCACAATGCTTTTACAACTTGCTGAACTGGTATCATGAGATGAGACCCAAGGGTGTCAAGCTCCTCAACAAAGGGTTCTAAAGCCCTACAACCCCCCCCCCCCCAAATTCCAAAGGCTCGAAAACCCAAACAGGGCGAAACCCCCAAGACCTAAACCTTTCGAGCCCTACATGGACCTGTACACCCAAAACCGTATGAACCCTAAGCCCATCCGACATAAACCTGCCACGGGGCTGAGCCGATGCCACTTGGCGTCGGTTTTGCCCAGGCAACTGCTCGGAGCGCGGCACTCCAGGAAGATCCTCCAAGAAGGAATTGAAGGAAGCTTGAGGGTGAAGGGGTTATCCGCACGAAATCTTGTGCCTCTGTAACAAGCAGCCGGTCAAAGGAGCCCAACAAAGTTCCCTCATGCCTGTCGCAGTTTGGCAGTATGTGTCCTCCAACATCGGGCGCATTCTCTAAACTCTAACCCCCATCAAAACTCTTGTGAAAAAACAAAGCGAACTACTCCCAGGGCCGCCCCCCCCCCCCCCCCCCACCCCCCCTCCCCGCCCCCGCTTCCACAACACACTGAGACGGCAAAGTGCCAGCCTTGGCTCTTCTGCAGACAGACGCCACTGCCCCATAGACCGCCACAGCGTGCGGCTGAGGCTCGCCTCTCAGGGTTCCGAAAGGAATTCATGGGGTTTAGCGGGCTTAGAGGACCTGTAGGGCTCGAGGGTTTCCGCCTTTCCTCCCCCAGAGACCCAGGAATAGGGCGTATTCACAGCGAGTGCCAGCTGAGAGTCTTCTGGTGGAGAGGAAGTCAAGTTTCGGGGCAATGGAATTGCTTTCTGCTTGAAGTTTTGTTGTGAGAAATGCCAGGAGCATACTTTTTGTTGGGGGGGGGGGGGGTGTTGGGGGCGGCTCTGCAATCGCTTCCTTCTGGGTTTCTTATGCAAAACATGATGATGAGGCTCTAAAACATCCCATGAGCCCTAAGCACTAACATAAGGCCCGCAATCTCATAGCCATTCTAAAAAGGCCCCAGATTACATAGAAAGCCCCTGGGTCGACCCTTTAAAATGCAAACCGTCTGAAAGATATCCTGAATGAGACTCCTTTAACCGAACAAGGGAAAACAAAAAGAATATCCCCAGGGCCTACTTCAAGCCTCTAAAAACCCTGAACCCTCAAAGCCCTCAAAGCCCTCAAAGCCCTAGGACCTCGCGCCTGCGAAGCTGGCGAGTCGTGGTCAGACATCAGGTCCTGGCCTTTTTCAGAGGGCAGCTTGAGGGTTCCTAGGGTTTAAGGTAGGCTTTATAGGGCTTATGTGGTGGCTTTATCTTTACCTAGGGTCTAGAGGTTGTATAGCTGTAGGGTTGAGAGGGTTTGCGGGGTAGAGGGTTCCAAAGGTTAGGGCCCTATAGGGCCTCAGAGGCTTGCATGGGCACCATGGATTGGGGAAGCTGGGCGCTGGGCTTGGCTTCTTGGGCTCTTGGGTCCCTCCAGATGCTGCATGTACATGTACATGTACATGTACTCCATATGCATATATATATATACATATGTATATGTATATGTAAATGTAAATAAATGTAAATGTAAATGCATATGCATAAATACATATACATAGCCCTGAGCCTTAAGTCCTCGAAATCATTGCAATAATACATATGTTTCTTTACAACTGTTGAAATAACAATACCAATGTTAGAAGCGCATCTTGTGAGCACTAAGAAGCAGAGTGGTGAGGCAGTAGAACAGCTACGGCCTCAAGGCCTTTAGCCGAGGATCCCAGAGAAGCGGCTTCCAGCCACTGACGCGCGCTTGGGGCGCGCCAAGTGCCGCCTTCCGACGGCGGCTCGCCATTGACGGCGCAGGCACGGCCTAGCAAGAGTGGAGTCCTTGTGGTTCTAGCGTTGGGCTTGTAGGGTTTTAGGCTTCAGGTTGTAGAGCCCCACACCCTACACTGGTTCTGAACAAGGAGTTGGGGCGTTGGGGTGCACATTTGCTCCCTGATTGAAAGGGTGGGTTTAGGGTTTAGCATTTAGATGTGAGGCGCTACTTCCCTACTTCCCTTTTGAGAGCCAGTAAGCCACGTCAATGGTAGGTTCCCTGCATGAGGGTTCCCTTTTGGGTTTCCGAATATGATACAGAGCCTAATGTTTAGTCTCACCTAACTTGCCTACTTTGCCCTGTGGATACAGCTAGTGTGGCCGCTGCTGCTCGACCATTCGCTCGATCCAGCCAGGGGGGAGCCTCGCAAGCGATCATCGATACGAGCTCGCTGCTTCTGGTCAAGCCTCCGGAAGGAGTGTCGCAAGTTGAGGGCTTGGGGTTTGGGGTTTGGGCGGTTTGGGGGTTTAGGATGTCAGGACGAACTGCGGGCAAGGCACATGTCGCCGGCAAGCTGCAGCAAGCCGTCCTGCCAGGGTTTGCAGTGCCTCCTCAGGGTGTGTTCAAGGCTGAGGGGATTCAGAGCGGCCGCTTACTACACGCCACACCCTGAACCCTACTCAAAGCAAAGCGAAAGATGCCCTCGATCCCGAAACATCGATTCCTTTGTTGAACCCCGAACCCTAAACCCTATACCCTGGACTATACGCCAAACCCTAAACCCCTAAAACCAAACCCCAAACCCGCCTCATCTACAGGAATCTCCCGGCTGACGTTGGCAGAGTTGCGGCGCCCTTGCACCTCAGACTGCCCACGTCAAGCAGCACAAGGTTCCCTAAGCCCTAAACCCGAAGCCTCAATGTCAAGCCCGACCCTAAACCCTAAACCCTACGGGCTTAGGCCCAAGGTCCTCCCGTAGGCTTCCCAAAATATGCCTCTGGGTGTCCCGGCCATTCCTCCAAGCTCTGCCATCTCCGGGAAGTGCAGGTAATCCATGATTCCCTGCTGCTAAGAGCTTAGGGTATAGGGTTCAGGAATGTTTGGGGGTTAGGGTCTCGGCTCTATGAAAAGGGTTCCTGGACTAGGGAGAGGCCAGTGAAGCTTGGCCAAGACATCTTTGGTTGGCCGGAGCCCATAGATGCTTCATGTTAATCAGGGCCTTTTGCAACCAAGCTGCTGGCGCTTGTGGGTGTATAGCCATACGCAACGGCACATCGTATCTCTGTTAACGACGAGAGCACAGCAGCAAGGTGGCGAAAGCGCAGGACTGCTCCTAAAATTTCAAGAGGTTGTGCACTTTCCTTAGTCAAGTGTCAAGCCATGGGCTGCGCTTACAAACTCTCCGATTCCGAAATCTCCCGAAGCTCCAGCAACCCAAAACCAGCCAAAACCCACGGGCCGGCCTGGGGATACAGTGGCTTGTCCGGAGCCCCGCCCCAAACATGCAAGACATCCTCAGTGAGGTTGGCCCGGTCCTGAGCTGGAACTTACTTTTGCCTTTCCGAAGCTGGGACCCTGGTGTCTTAGGACCGATAGCTGCAGGTCTCAGATGTTTAAGCTTTTGGGAAGAGACTTTGCGGATATTTAGGAATCAAAGGCCCCAGGGTTTCGGGCTTAAGAGGCCCTTCGTCAAAGAGCGTGCGGGCCCCCCCAGCACCTCGCTAGACTTTCCCCACGCACCCTGTACTAATTATACCCCACGCCCGCATCAACCCTAAACCCCACGCCCGATTTTGTGGAAAAAACCTATACCCTAAACTAACGCGAAACCACAGGACAGCCCGATATATCCATACACACATACATATATATGTATACATATTCATAATAGCAGGCTTACCATATATATATATATATATATATATACACACATATGGGTGCATACATCATACACTATCCACCTAAGCTTCATGAGCGTCGAGCCGGCTCTTGCTGAGGCCGCCGCGTGTTCGGGCAGACTCTGCACGAGGTCTCCTGCCCGGTGCAGCCAAGGGGCCAACTTAGTCAGAAAAACTTCTTAGGGGATGTTAAAAGCAGCTCATCTTATATGTATGTTTATCTCTATACAAATACAAATCTACAAACATATGTATAAATAAATATAAACATGAATAGAAATAAAAATATAAATATAAATAAAAATATAAATATATATATATATGCTACCCCCCCCCCCCAGCGACCTACCCTTTTTAGGCCTTTTTAGGCCTTTTTAACAAAAAATAACAAAGAAGGCCCAAAAGTCGCGTAGTTAATCACCGGGTAATGAAGGACAGTTACTGGGACACCCACCTCACAGACCCCGATAAGCCAGCATTGGAAGAATCTACATTTTGAATCTGAAGCGGACAATGCTGTTTTTAGATGTTTAGATCAGTGTTTTCTATGCAAATTGTGCGTTTCAAGGGCAATTAATGTTTTGTTGAGCAACTGATTTATTTATACAGTTGTGTTTGTACGAGGCAAAGTATTAATCAAATAGTGAAACATTTTTCTTGGTTCTATGCGAATTTAGCTACTAGAGTAATTATTAAGCAAAGAGCCCAATTTGACTCAAGTGAATACTATTTAAAGGAGCATACTCAACCAAGATACGAAATAAACACCATTCTCAACCAAAAAATGGCAAAGTGTGCGTTTAAAGTGCAAATACTGTATTTATACAATTGTGTTTGTACTAGGCAAAGTATGCTCTCTGAAAAGTCCACTGAAATACCTTATGTTTACATATTCATGAATCGTTTGTATTTTTGAAACAATCATTTTATGCGAATTTAGCTACTAGAGTAATTATTAAGCAAATAGCCCAATTTGACTCAAATGAATACCATTTAAAGGACCATACTCAACCAAAATACGAAAGAAGCACCACATTCAACCAACATATGGCAAAGTGTGGTTTAAAGGGCAAATAGTGCTTTGTTGAGCAACTAATGCATTGAAACAGTTGTGTTTATATTCGGGAAAGTATTATGGAAGTACCATCTGCAAAGTCAAATGAAACACCATTATGTTTACATATTCATGAAACAATTTTTTTGAAGTATTCATTCTATGCGAATTTAACTAAAAGAGGAATTCTTAAGCAAATAGCCCAATTTGACTCAAGTGAATACTATTTAAAGGACCATACTTAACCAAATACGAAATAAACACTTGCGGAAATGGAAACGGTTCTACCTACATAACAATGAGACAAAGATTGCTGAAGTATTCACTAAAGACCACTTCTATACTATGTATGAAAAGCACAATTTGCATGAGCAAGCTTAAAAATGCACAATAATGGAAATAGAAGCGGTTCTACGTACATAACGATGAAACAAAGATGTCTGAAGTATTCAATAAAGACCACATATATACTATGCCTGAAAAACGCAACTTGCACAATCAGGCTTAAAAAATGCACAAGAATCCTAGAAAAGTACTTAGTGAAGGCCATACACAAGCAAATTCACAAATACATAAAAACATTCAAAAGCGCAAGCTTTTCAGGAGAATCTCTGGCAAAGTTTGGATTATAGGGTTTTGGGGTATTCCTGGACGAGTAGGAGTCACTTTTTAAGCAAACAATTCTAAGCAATAAATGCTTTTTCTCAAGACAAGTATTGCAAATGCTGCTTCTAGATAATTAATCGCATTTACAAGGCAAATCTTATCCATGCGAATTGAGCTACCAGAGTGCCAAGTAATGGCTATAAGGTCTACTACACTTGAGTACAACCAAAAGATGCACTAAACACTAGCGGCTCTACTTACATAATAACGAAACAAATAGTTCTGAAGCACTAGAAGGACCACTTGTATACTATTTCTGAAAAGCACAATTAGCATAAGCACACTTAAAAATGCGTAGTTGTTGCCTCGTGACCGTGAAGGCGAACCAAAAAGCCAAGATACCAAAACCAAAAAACCAAAAATACCAAAACCAAAAAAACCAAAAAAACCAAAAAACCAAAAAAACCAAAAAAACCAAAACCAAAAAAACCAAAAAAACCAAAAAAACCAATTTTCCGGGACTCTTGGAGAAGCCTCATAGGGATTTCCTGAGAGTCCCGGAAAATTGTTTTTTTTGGTATTTTTGGTTTTTTTGGTTTTGGTTTTTTTGGTTTTTTTGGTTTTGGTTTTTTTGGTTTTGGTTTTTTTGGTTTTGGTTTTTTGGTTTTTTTGGTTTCGGTATTTTTGGTTTTTCGACTGTCCCGTGTATGCGATTTTAGTTGTATTTTAGTCTACGCCCTAGGAAATACGCTATATTGCACACCGAGTTTGCTTGCAGTGCAGCTGGGTGACTTGAGACAAGGCGAAAAAGGGTAGGTCACTGGGGGGGGGGGGGGGGGGGGTACCATATATATATATATAAGTTTCTCACGATATGAATATGTATATATATATACATATCTATCTACTTGTATGTATATTATGTATACTTATTTATAAACATACAAATACATAGTTTTTAAACAAAACATTACAAAACAATACATAACTCCAGGTCTACGGTTTACATGTATATGTGGAGACTGTTGGTGATGATCGAGGCTCTTTTACTTCACAAGGAAGGTCTCCCCCCCCCCCCGCCCCCCACCCCCCCAAAACTGAAACCGAAGCCCCAAACCTTTAAATGCCCCGCAACCCGAAACCCAAGACTGGAGCCCCCAAGATGGGTGGGCTTGGGGAGTGTATGGCTTGTAGGGCTTTAGGGGTCGAGGGCGTAGCACTTGGGTGGGGGTTGAGGGCTTAGGGACTTGCAGGGACAACCCGGCCCTGCAGTATCTCCCTTTTCCAAAACTGAACCAGAAATTCCGGCTTTAGGGCTTCATCCCTACAAACCGGTTTCCCCAACACTGTGTGCCCCCTCTTCCCGCTCTCAGGCTCCGAAGTGGGTGCGCAGCAGCCAGGGGGACTGGCAGCGTTTTGGAAAGCCTCACTGTCATGGCTAGGATTCAGCAGTATGCTGCTTGCTTCTACACCTCACCAACGAAACGCTGCGCTTTGGCTAATGCACCTTAGCATCCATATGCCAAGACACCACAGGAGCTGCAGCTGCTAGCCTGTCGTAGCACCATGGAGCTCAGAAGCAGCACGCCCTCCTGATGTGGCTCTTAAGACGGATCGCATGGGCCACACATGACGCAGCGCAATGAGCAATTGAAGCTCTGACTCAGAACTTCTGCTTTGAAGGCGTGGGCGCGCGGCTCTTCAGCATATGGTTGCTGGCACCCACATATCGCCCGCTAGACCCTCGTTCTGCAAGCTTGTCTCGCCATTTACGCAGCAGTTTGTTGTTGCAGTCATGGCAATCAAGGCCCAAAACCCGAAGGTCTGCAAATTGCTGCTTGGGTGCATAGCTTCTGCTGCACTGTCCCCTGCAGCGAGGTCCAGGGATTTGAGCTCGGGGCATGCTAACCGGTACCCGTCACCATAATTCGACCACAACTGACTAGACTGAAGGGCCGTTGTGAGAGGACAACAGAGGATGTTCAACTTATCCAAGAACTCGAACAAAAACCGTAGGGAGCTAAACCATAAACAGCTGCAAGCGCACCCACAACCACAACAACCAAACCCCAACCACCATGCGGTTCAAGGCCCGATCGTGCCAGTGGAGGGAGGGGTCTACGAATACCCAAATGTAGGCTGTTAGCGCCAATGAGACGCCGAATTTAGGATCGACGGGTCACTATCGGTGACAATTAGTGCAGAGGTACCAACTGATCACGGGGCCTGTCCGGCATTGACTACTTTTTCGTTGGAAGTTCGTTCATGTTGTGTTCAACAGGCAAGAAACCGACTTTCAATAACATGTAGTCGCTCAGATCTGGTGGGACTCCCATAACTGGGGATTGCCGACATGGTCGGTAAGGCTGCTTCCATTGTCCTCATGAAAAGGAGCTGCTGCTCTGAGCAGCGAGTTCTGGATGTGCCGTGTTGGTCCCTTAGGCAGATTTCACACAAAAAACCAGACCTGGTGTGTCGCATGCCACAAGCCCTTCACCTCAATCCCAGACCCAGTCGCACCTGCAGAACTCTTCGACATGCTTCCGGGCAGTCCGTGGCGTCGCAGCATTCAGCAGTGCCTTGAGCCGGGAAGGACGCACGCCCACGGTGTACCTCAGCAACGGACCCAGCCGGGTTGCTCTAAACCTCGACGCCCTGAAGCAAAATCAACATCCTTGGGAGATCTTAGCAGCCGATTCCTTCCGAGGTCGTGGCTGAAAAGACGTCTTGTGAACCGCATGCGGCACCTTGGTGGTAGCCAGTTCTTGTTCGACAGAGCCTACAAGAGCTGTCGCAAAGTACTTCGCGCGGTTTAGAGTTTAGGACCATTTCTTCTCATTCTTCTCATCTCACAGCAGCTGTCCGTTTATGGACACGTCACGTGAACCATCTCGAAGTAGTTCACCAAATCCTTTGCGAAGTTCGTGTGGAGCACAGTCTCAGGTCGAACCACTACCTGAGTTGCAGTTTATGGCTTATAGGCTTTAGGGTCTTTTAGCGGCATGCGTGATTTCCAGCTGAGGCAGCAGCCCTTTTCATGAAACTACCCCTTTGCACATTGCCACTGCATCGAAATCCAACCCAACAAGACCAAAAAACATAATCATCTTTCCTGCCTTACGGCCACGCAAAACGACAACAAACGACAAGGGGGAGGACGCAGCTAACCCCATCGGGGCCGGGAACGGTCATCTGAAAGCCGGGGAGCACTGTTGGCCTCAGGCAGGCCCTGGATCACCTGGTGGTGTTTGCTTCCGAGGCCTCGATCCGCCAGGCTTCCACTATTCATGGTGCATGAGGCATGAGCCTCAGAGACCAAGCCCAGGCAGCCACAACTCCATGTGGCAGTATATGTCTACATAAACCCTCAGGGCCCAAAGACGCAAACAGTTCAAGTCACTGTAGCCAAACTTCCCTTATATCACTTATACCCTAAAGCGTTTTAGAAGTTAAGACGCATACATGCGGAAGCCTGAACCGCCCAAGAAAAGTAAAGCTCCATGAGGCCGGCACCATCCACCTCGATGTACCACCACGGGGAGCCGCTGTGAAACGCGGCTCCCAGACCCCCGGCCTCGGGAGGAGCTCCGCCGGACAAAGGGAGAGGGGGATTGGGGGCTTAGGGTTTTTGGGGTTTTTGGGTTTTAGTTCCTTTGGGTGTAGGGGTTTTAAAGGTTTGGGATTTCAGGCTTTTGGTTCAGAAGGTGGTTTGGGTTTCAGGGGGTTTTGGGAGGCCTGCGCCATTGCAGGTTAGGGTCTATAGGTGCCACCACCGCCACCACCACCACCTTCTACGGCCAACACCACCACCACCTACGATCGCCACTACAGCACGCCAACAACTATACAACCACGACAATACGACTGAACTACGTACTGCTACTTACTTGTCAAAGTTTTCTGTCACGACTCTGTAAGGGTCTGGTCTGAGATATGCTGCCTATGGCCCATGCGCCTAGGAAGTTGACTGTCGGGCTTCTGGTTTACGGACGGGGTCAAAAGTTTAGGGCTTCATGTCGCATTTGTTCGTGCCAAGGGTTTATCCTGAATTCAAAGAAAGCTTCACGGTGCTGAAATTTCCGTTGCTTGTCTCGCCCACCCACTTCGGGGCCCCCCCGCCCCCCTCTGAGGCATGCCGGAGCAAGCCCTGAAGGCCCTAAAACTAACCCCAAACTTTCATTCAGTAGCCTAGGAATAAGCAGGGGTCTTTTTGGTTTACAGGGGCTTATAGGGGAACCTAAACCCTCAAAAAGGGAATAAGGGCCCACCCTGGGTCCTAATTTCAGCCTGGGGACT